TAAACGTAAGCCAACCAACCAAGTCAGGAAGAGGTGACTGATCAAACTCAGAAAAGGGTTTCATCAAGGGGCGAGGGGAATGTATCTAGTGTGTCAACGGCGAAACTCTGGTGGCCTAGCAGTAAGAAACTGCACTGCAATTCCAAAGGCACACAGCTACTCCACAGAGAAAGAGAGAAAGATGGGCAATCTCCTCCCACGTGCTTTACTGCCTCTGAAAACCTGCTGAAGGATCAACTATGGGTCAGTTCTGACTCAAAAGGACACAACAACAACAACTGGGTCAATGTGACCAAACATTTTCTTCTTCATCTCTGTGCAGATGACACCTTCTGAGATGCCCACCGTCATTCTCCATATTGGGTTCAAAGGGAACTAACTCTACCAATCTCAAATCTTTCCTTGACTCCATAGCCTCATAGCTCTTCCTCCTGAGATGCTGGCAGTCTTGGACATGACCCCCTTTGTCACCAAGTGAACTCATTCTCACTGGGTCTCTAAAGAGACCAGAGTTACAGTGGGAAGTTGGTTTGTGGCAAACCCTTAGAGCTTGTGGTGATAGAGACAGTGGCTTTCAAAAATGCTTCTGGATGAGTAGGCAGGGATCGGGGAGGAAGAACACCCAAGGCCTGGTTGCCCAGACTCCCAGCCACTAAAGCACACAGAAAAGGCAAAAAGGTGCCTTCTTCCTCATCACAAGAAACAAAACTACTTTATACTCTTCCTAAAACATAAATATTCTAGCTACTTTTGAAAAACCAAAATGGTCTTGGTAAACAGAAAGTACAGGCCTTCATAGATTTCTAAATAGATAGCAGAGTCATAAGTGATTCTGATATAAAAAAATCAGCATTTTATTAATATTGGAAATGATGATTTATGGATTTATTTTATTCAGGCTTGTTCTACAAAGGATTAAAGGCCATTTACAATAATAGAGAGAGCTCTTGTGGCACAGTCTAGGGAGTTCTGCTCTGCTAACCAAAATGCTGAGCGTCTTTGCGTGGTTCAAAACCACTAGCAGCTCCATAGAAGAAAAATGGGCAATAAAGGTCTGTTTTGATTTATTGTCTCAGGAACCTGAAGGAAGGAGGCTATGAATTGTAATGAACTCAACTGTAGTGAGTTTGCATTTAGATCGAATACAAGCATATTTTTGTTTCTGTGAGGTGCCACCAAGTCAATTATGATTTGTTGTGAATTTATGAACAACACATCTGACCCTTGCACTACCTTGTGCTGTCCCCACAATCTTCAACATGCTCCTGCCCATTGTTACAGTCCCTGTATCAATCCATCTAGTTGAGAGTCACTCTCATGTTCACTGATGCTGTGCCTTTCCCAGCGTGATGCCTTTTTTTAAGGGTTGGCCCCTCCTGAATGGAGTTCTGATGGCCTAGAATCCATAAGCAGCTCCAAGGGGAAAAGAGGGACAATTTACAGGCTCTAAAAACCTACTGGAGGATCAGCTATAAGTCAGTTCTTATGTTAATGAATTTGTTGGTTTTCTGGTGGCATGGTTTTTTTGCACCCCTGGACAGCAAGCACAAAGTATATGAGACAAAGTTTCACCCTCTTTGCCTTGAAGGAACACCGTGGTTCCCCTTCCTCCAAGGAAGATTTTTTTTGTTCTTTTGACAGTCTACAGTATATTCCATATTCTTCTCTAACACCATAAGTCATAGGCATCAATTCTTTAGTTTTCATTATTGACTGTCCAACTTTCAATGCATAAAAAGCAACTGAAAATACTATGGCTTGGATCAGGTACACCTTAATCTTTAAAGTCCATGAACAGATAAACACAATGTGGTCTGGACATACACTGGAATATTAGGCAGAAAGGGAAATTAATTCCTGATGTGTGCCACAACATGAGTGAACCTTGAAAAGACCATGAATGAAGTCAGTCAGTCACAAAAGGACAAATATTGTATTATATCATTGTATGAAAGGCTTAAAATCTATAAGCACATGTGGAGGGCAATGGCCTACTACTAGAATACCATATTTAGTCTGAGTCTTGACTTAAGTTCAGACTTCATCTGAATCCTTTATGGTACTTTTTCATTGCATGCTGACCTATAAATCAGCTAGGTGGTTATATTTAGACAAGTCAAAGCAAAACCAAGAAGAGGCAGTTGGCTTCAGGAAGAATGTATTGAAAATCAAAAGAAACAGTCTATGTATAAAAGTGCTTACACAGACAACTAAGGAACTTGTATGAGAATGTTCTTAACGATTGACATGAAATATTTCATCGGGAGAATTTACTCTAGCTAGTCAATCAGAATATATTTACTCTTAGTTCTTGGTAATTTTATATTTAAATTCTATGTGGCCTATAATATCTGCAACACTGGGCAGGGGGTTTCTTGATCCTGTGTTCCTCAATTCTTTAATCACTTTCTCCCATAATAAGCCTCTTTCCTTTTCATTTTAGATAGGGCCCAATTTTGCAGTTTGTTGACACTATCTGTACAAAATATCAAGAATAATCAAGTGCCTAGAAACCAGAGGAAAATAGTTGTGTGGAAGGAGTGCTGAGTTTCTGTTAGCCTTCAAGTTGGTTCTGACTCAGAATGATCCTCCATTGGGTTTTCAAGTCTATCAATCTTTATGAGAGGTGACTGCCCATCTTTCTCCAATGGAAAGGACAGTAGATGCAAATTGTTGGCCTTTTGTTAGTAGCTGACAAATTACACATTAGTTCACCAAGTCTTCCAGAGGTTCTGTTAAGTAAGAATGATGAAAGAGTTTTGGAAATGGGTAATCATGAAGGCTGTACAATATACAGAAAATAGGTCACTTAAAAATTGTTAAGATGATAAACTTTTATATTGAGTGTGTGTTTCTGTGTGAGAATAACATGTATATATTTAATAAGTTTAAACTTATTAAATATTGGCTTTAGGAAGAATGTGTTGAAAATCAAAAGAAACAATCTATGTATAAAAGTGCTTACATAGACAACTAGGGAACTTGTATGAGCATGTTCTTAATGATTGACATGAAATAGTCAATATTATTTTAAAAACAATGAGGTAATTAAACAATAACAAAAGTAAATGTAAATAATGCAGATAGAGAGTCAAAAGTCCAACCCCAGTTGTTGAAACAAAACTCATAGACTCTGCTAAAGTTGATGGGATCAACCTGCTGGAAGACAAATGAGCTCTCAACAAGGATGTGAATGTTGGATTTCTGAAAGTTATGTGTAGTAAGTACACTGATATTTCCTTAGGCTTCTCCGCCAGAGCATAAATTAAGTAACTAGCTAATACCTACTGGATTCTTAAAAAATCTCTCAAAAGTTTCTATGCTGCTTAAAAGGAGTGGAGGAAAGTATCTACATGGGTTTGCACTATCTTGTACCTTGATGTCAAAGAGCAGACAAGAGTACAAGGTGGCTAATAGTAGGTAAACTCTCAAGCTTTAGATTCAGAGACACAGGACAGAATCACACTCCACCATTTGTGAGCTTGGTGCCTTTATGGTCTTGAGTATCTGAGACTCAGTTTCTGATATTAGAAGGTATTACTTCCTTTGACCTTGTAGAATTGTTGAAAGGGCTAAACAAGATCATTTCTGTATTGTCACCAGCTCTACTGACAAGAGCAAAGGAACCCTAAAAGTTCTGGGGATTGAGCATTGGGCTAATAACC